AGTTCAAAGTTCTTGGGGTAATAACGCGTAATATAAATATAAATGAAGACCTTGGTATTGTACTGGTTAAGCAGAAAATTCCCGACGAAAAAAAAGAAGCTCCCACCTATTTAGTTTGGAAAGAACTCTGAGTTAATTTTAGCTAGCAAATTTTTAATTTAGTTTTAAGATTTTTCACTAACTGTTTAAGCAGATAAACACATTCACATTAATACAAACAAAATACGTAACCAAATTGAGTTATGGGAAACTTTATTTGATATTTTATACAAAACTTTTTTCTATATGCCATTTCATTTAATATTTTGCAATAACTTCGGGTGGGGTTTATGAAATGCCGTATAACCACACACCTTTATCATATTCAAGAGATGGGTTCAAGTTAGGAACCACTAAAAAATAATAATAATGTCTTGCTCTTGTTAAACTGTTCCTAAGATTACTCATATTGACAGTTTTTATGGAGCTTCAAGCACCTGAAACTACACAAGGTTCAAAAATCAAAGAAAAACTAATTTCAATATCTACAGCGTCGGACGAAATACACTGGACTGATACACATGAACTATATTACCAACTATGGTTTCCACATATATGATTTTAAATATAAACAAATCAAGAAGAACTAATTATTTTATAAAAACATAAGAAACCTTAGTAAAGTGTTTGACTCCATGACTTATATGTGTAAAAAATAAACAGTTTTAGTGTTCAGTACAGCAAAACGTATTGGAATAATTATTGATTTTTAAATTTTATAGCGTCGCCGTTATTTATAACAACTTCACCACAGCTCCTCGGCGTGGGAGAAATACGATTGCTAAAGACTGTGGAATACTTAACCAGCTTTAAATGGTTTCTCCTTATCCCGGTCAACACCTTCTTTGTCCATCCTCCTATCAATTGGATTGAGATACAGTGATTGTGCTGGCCACTTAAGGATATCAATATTTTCAGCTATGGTTCAATTTGCTGCTAGTTTCGAGTTTTTTTTGTGTCGAAATCATGTTGAAATGCTACGAAAGTGGCATATTCCAATACGCCGATGAAAAATGTCATTTATTTGATGAAAAGGTCCAACACCAAACACAGGGAAAAAATTCTGTGTCCTAATTTTACCTCCGCTATGCTTTACGGTAACGTTCCGGTATCTTCTCATCCAACTGAATAAATTAAATTAAATTGTATTTAAAAGACATTGGTCCATCATATCACGGACTTGTTGACTTGCTCTCGACCAAATGGTAACCCGTTAAGCCGATTTTTTCAGGAAATATATTTTTGTCTGGTCTATAACTTTCTAGTCTTCAAGCCCTTACTCTGCTTTGTTCTGTTCGGCTGCTTATTGACGTCGTTTTTTCTGTACTTTTCTTTAGTTCCATGAGTATCTGTATGTGCTCGTACCGTTGTTGTAGCTTTAGGTCGTCCTACACGTTGATAAATTTCGAAACTTCCGGTTTCTTTAAAATATTATTTATAAAAAAAAGAACGGTTGATGTCTTTTTGTCAGCAAATATCTTTTTTGAATAAACCATTCTTGTAATAATTAATAATAAGTTTTTCCACTGTTTTGAATGTTTTGTTTAATTAGCTTATGACTTTTTTTTGAAAATTCTAGAATTTAATTAGATATTCACTTTCGATCAATTAAAAACGATGCTGTTTTATATAAACACGGAATAAGAACGCGATAAATTTGCAAACTATCAAGAAAAAGCGGTCGCAAACTGAGGGAAACTGGGACGGACCCAATATGATTTGTCACAGTAACTATCGAATATGTTATGCGATTTTTGGCCGAGTAGTTACTTTTAGTATAAGTAGGCACTTGCGGGAGATCATGAGTTCAATTCCTGTCCCGATCAACATCCAAAATTATAATAACCTAAATTTATAATGACGGTGATGTCAACCCTTCCGAGTATCATTTATGCGTAAACTACCCAAAAGGATTTATTGAGAGTCAGATAAGGGTTCGTGAATACCCTATGTATTGGCCATTTGCTGTTAGTAGAAGAGCCCTCAAAATAAAGCTCTGAATTCGCAAAAAGTGTGCTGCCATTTAGTTAAATTCTCACTACTAAGCAAACAACCACATAATCGGTAACTAAGGATAAGGGTAAGAGATTAATCATAGTTGGCTATTTTTCCATATCACGTTTTGTTGTTATTTACTTAATCAGAAATAACTTAACCTGGCTTAAAATATGAACACATACAATTCTTCTGATTAGTATTTGACTCCCTTTTTTACATATTGAGTGCATGCATTAACTCGTGCGGTTTTCTAAGAGAGGGCTCTACTGGTATTATTTCGCGTCGTGTTCATCTGTGTCTATATTAATTTTAAAGGTACTGTAATTACGTGTCGTTTTCAGTAGATGTCATTTGTCTTAAAAAGTCGAAATTTGTACCAAATAAAGTGTTTTTGCGCGAGCTCTTCTTCATTACTTATCGTGAAGAAAAGTGCTGCCGAAAGCCAACGTATTTTACTAGACGTTTATGGTGGCCAGCCGAACGAACGTGCCAAAAGTGGTTTGCACGGTTTAAAAGTGATTCTAAGACGACAGAGAACGACCCGACAGCCAAAAAAGTTTCAAGACGAAGAATTGGAGACATTGCTCGACGCAGATGCATGACAGACGCAAGAAGAACTTGCAAAAGTATTGGGATTGTCACTGGCGACGAAAAATGGATTCATTATGATAACACAAAGCGCAAGAGATCGTATGTGAAGCCCAGCCAACCATCGACATCTACGGCAAAGCCGAATATTCATGTGCTATGTATTTGGTGGGACCACAAGGATGTGCTCTATTATGAGCTATTGAAATAAGGTCAGACGATCAATGGGGACCTCTACCGAAAGCAATTGATTCGTTTAAAAATGGCCATCATGGAATAACGACCAGAAAATGCGACCAGACACGAATCAATAATTTTTCCTCATGACAGCGCTCGACCACATGTTGCAAGACCAGTTAAAAACTATTTGGAAAACTGTGGGTGGGAAGATTTACCTCACCCAGCTTATGGCCCAGACATAGCACCTTCCGATTACCACTTGTTCAGATCAATGCAGAATGCCCCCACCCCTCACGCTTCACTTCAGAACAGGGTATCAGAAATTGGCTCCATTCTTTCTTGCCCTCCATGCCGGAGAAGCTCTTTTAGGATGGGATCCACAAACCACCAGAAAGATGGGCAAACATCATAGCTTTCGATCGACAATCCTTTGATTATTACATGTATAACAATTTTTTCACAATAAAGTCTTAATTTTTAGATTTTCAAGTGATCAGATTTGCAGTTTATATCATTAAATTAATAAAAACAGGGTGGTACACGAATATAACTTCCTTTCTACAATATCGCATTCCTCTTTTAATTTTCCAGAAAACGTTGATATTATAATTTTTGTTCACAATAACTCACTGCACATTTTGCAATCGCTTCGAATTTTTAAACAAGATTTTTTCGCATAAAAAAGGTCAAACTCTTCCGACTTGATTTGATAAAGAAAATATGCGACAATCGGTTGTAAAAGTTTTTGATATGATTTACACACACATTCTTATTGCACTACAATGAATGTTAAAGACAGTTTTGTTCAAAATTAATAGTAAATGAAATAAAAAGTCCTCATCAAAAATCATCAGCCGTTCGGAGGCGGCTTAGTATAAACTGTAGGTTCTTACATTTGTTGAAAAAAAAATCAAGACGCTGAACCACAAATAGGAGGAGAAGGTCGGCCGAAAATCGCTTCAGCAGTAATAATTTTTACAATTTAAATATTTTTAAAGTTAAAATATAATACATTTTTTCGACTAATATTATTCAGTGCCTATTTAACTAAAAGATTTAACAAATTAAAAAAAATACAATAAAATACAGTATTAAGGATTTTATAATCAAGGTATTGAGCTGTTTTATGAATATAATTCAAAATCTTTGCCAATCCACAGAATTGGACTCAGTATGGCATTAAACATATGATTTTACTGCTGGCGTAACCTTATTCTCTATAAATCTTGTATTATTACAGTAGAATAAAAAACTTGTTTATGCGTGATGCGGTTTTTTAAATAGACCAAACCAACATCGAAATAGTTTTTTCTCTGAATGCGGTGGGGCTCGATTGAGAATGTCCACATATCCAAATATATATCTGACATGAAAACAATATTTATCTTTTCATAAAAATCCATCAGGCGTTCGAACACCCGTATGATCTTGGGTCTTGGACGAGTGGGACTGGAAATTGTACGAAAATTTTAGTTTTAATTTTTAATTTCCTTTATATTATATAATTTTCATTATATAAATAGATAAAAGCCCTGACCATCAACAAATGGAGGAGCCTACAGCTTATTCAAAACAGTCTCCGAACGGCCGATGGTTTTTGATGAGAATCCAACTATTGCGCTGCTTAGGCGTTTAATTTAGTATGAGACGCGTTTACATTTCATGGGGAAACACATATTACCAATCTATTAATATAGATTCCAATAAATAAATGCACTCGTATTTATTTGGAAATGCTTGTTTTCTGCGGGCTCTAATTTCAAGCGAACAATTAGTAATTGCAGTGCTTAGTTCAACAATCCTTCCAAATTCGGGATAATCTCTGAAGCGTGTGCCCTGTTGACTGACGTATAAGCGCAAACAAAAACACATTTTCATATTAGTCGATATGTATGCACATACATATAATACTATGTGTATACACACGAACTCTTTTAACGGCATATGCAGATGGGCAAGAGTTGGTTTTTGTCAAATTCGGGGATTAAGAATAATCCGCTATGGGGAAAATAACTATAAAATGTGTATGTTGTGTGACAATGCATTGAACAAAATGTGCAACAAATTGAAAGAACGGATTAAAATGGACACTCAAAGATTCTTCAACTCTTTTTCACACTTTCACATTTGCACATATTCCATTCATTCTCTCATTATTTTTACGAATATACATACTCCATGCAATAAATAATTACCGGATATCGAATGGTCAGAAAGCCTCGTTGGTGGCGTATGCGCGGGTGTATGATGATGTGAAGATGTATCCATGCCCGGCGTGGGCAGTCCAGAGTACAAGGAGCTAAAGTCCTCGGGTGTACTACTGCATTTGCGTTGGTGATTAAGCGAACTTTTATCAATTGATGATAGCGGGGAACGGGTGTCTTGCATTGATGAGGTTAGACCAAGCAGGCGGTTCTCATGCGAAGAAGAAATACCCATTAAACGGTTATCTTGAAATGACATGAATTTTGTATCCTGCGATACACCAGCGTGCTGCATGTTAGCTGCGTGGTCATCCAGCAATCCTTGTTGCAAACCCAACAATCCGCCAACCAAATTCGGACGTAGTTCATCCATTGTGAGCTTACTTTGACCGCAAGTACCAGCAGTAAAGTTGAGCTGCCGGCTAAAGATCGCCGGAAATATATTAAATTGTTGTGAATCTGCGCTCGATTGTGGGCTTAAACCAAGGCTGGGTGGTACGATATGAGGTAAAGAAGAAGCCGATGAAACAGTTGCTGTAACTGATGAAATTGGATGCACGATATTACCGCCTGAAGCAGGACCGTTACCAATGACTAGAGAGGATGTGGAATTAGAGCCGACGGCACTGCTTCCACTACCAGATGTTGTACTGCCGTTACTGGTCGCACAACCGCCGGATGTGGGTGTATGTAATTGTTGTGTTTGTCCCTGTGACGCTTGTTGTTGCTGCTGGTGTGATGATTGTTGCTGAGCGGCAGGTGCTGCTGAAGCTGGTTGTTGCTGTTGTTGCCCAACTGGCGCTAGTCCGCTGTGTGTCAAGCCGGCGGCGAGATGAGCGTGCGATACGGCAGATGTACCACTGTGATGCGGATGTATGAGGGAATGATGGGGCGGTAAATGTGCCGATGGATTGCTGGCGGACAGATGAGGCTGATGCACGTGATGCGCTTGAAGTGAATTCAAGCTCGAATTGCCGACGACGCCACCACCACCGGAAATAGGGCCGCCGGCACAACTATGTTGTTTGAAATCCAACTTGTGGCCGGTGTAAAATCGCGTATCAATATACGTTTTGAAAAAATCAATTATAAAACTTTGCTTAGAACGGATCGGTTAATGCAAATCGCACGGTTGAGGTATCCCTAAACACAATACACCTTAAGGTACAAACTGTGCTTTCGCAACACTGGCGCACATAAATCAGTACAAAAACACCAACCACTTATAACACCACACTGTCTACGACGGTCGTTCTTCGGATCACTGCAGAAATTTTCGCGGGTAACGCAATTAATTAATTTCAATTGCAATCGCAATTAAAAAGGTATTCCAGCAGCTATCTATGACTGTATGTGTCTCTACATATCGATATATGTATATTATTCATATTATAGACATGTGCGATATTTTATATTTTGCCCCCTAAACAACCGACACGTTACTAACACTGCCGACTCGGTGCATATGCTGATAAACCAACTGGCGAATAGTTAAAATTTTCTTAAACCGAACGAAGCACATATACCGTACCAGACAACAGCATTCAGAAAGCCGATTATAGTTATACTTATTTTTTAGTATATTTTACACCGCAGCCAGTAGTTCGAGGATGGGTAAACTTCGTCCCGGTTTTCTTTTCGACTCTTAACTTTCCAAAAGAGAGAGCGCGTTGGTTTCGGTAAATTCTTCTAACAGTATCAGCTTAATACCAAGAAACTCTTAACTCTAAACAAACAAAAATATGTATGTGAATTTGGTTAATTGCTGAGTGCACAACACATTTCCATGCTCACGTCAAACTGACTCTTCGCTGCACTTGCGGTCTGATCCTGATGGTGGCCAGCCCAATTTCTAATATTTACAAATAATGAAAATTCGATTTCCTCTTTTTGAGAGGGGTAATAACAATAATGTAATTTCGGATGCGTTTAACTCTATCGCGTTCTTTTACCCTATGCCGCACCACACTCACAGAAGGTATGCAAATGTACCTTGCGAACTTTTTGCTCTGCTGCAAACTGTTTCACTATATATGTACATATCTAACTACAATACATATCTATGTATGCGACTTAATGTGCTGTCGTGAATAGTGCCGGCCTCTGTATCTTAGGTCGCTGGTACGCGCGTATTCGCGGCCGATCAAATACAAAATGATATACAATTCCAGGCAGCACACAAAATTATAACGAAATTAAGGATCATGTGCATGCTGTCCGCTGCAAAAGCTTCGCTTTTTCCCATTCCCGCCTTCTCAGTTGACTACAGCGGTGGTGGGTGGTTACACCGAAACACTGAGGCTGGGTAATATTCTTGTGCTAGTATAATGGGGATGGTATGTTTGCAGCAGCGTTATATTGACTCGTTTTTAAAGCGGAGGAGCTGGTGCTGATTTAATATGTACATACATAGATATATCCATACATATCTATATATGTATGTATATGTTTATGTTTTACAGAGCTCGTGCATTTTATGCTGGTGTTGGTACGACCACGAATCGTTAGCCATACTAATAATAATGTGGAATGTAATGAAACATCTTTGATACGAAAAGTGCTATCATCAATCCATAGCAAAATAAATACAACATCACATGAACATTGGTATATACATATTTACGCAAAATATACATCAAACAGTTTTTAAACAAGGACAGCAACATAATTGAGCTATGGCTGCTTGCTACTCGGAATATGGTGATGGACTCATCCCTTCTATTTGCAACAATCTCTCGACGATGTCAACTCACGACATCTCATTACCCAGCCATCATAGCATTGTCTCTTTTTAACTGGTTTAATTTCGTTACGGGCTGTTTTTCCCTTTTTTGATGGTCGTTCAATCAGCCTACAACAATAACAACTCGTGGTCCTTAGACCCAATAAAAATGGCTGCTCTGAGGTTGGGTTGATGTTGTTGTTACTTTTGCTGTTGCTGTTGCTGCTGCTGTTGCTGTCGCTAATAATATTGTGCGTCCACTATTTTCGGTTTCTGATAGTTGAACTCTCAATTTTTCAAATTTTTTATATTTGTATTTGTATTTGCGCACATTTGAGGCGTAAGTTACTTGTGGTTGTATGCATACATATGTACATATAATATAAGCATGTTTATAATACGTATCTGCTGCAATATTGCAATGCCAGACAGGCCTTAGAAACGGTAAAAATTGTAATCACAGAGCGTCTGACACACTTCCCTTGAGTTTACGTTGCAAATATACATATGTATGTACCTACCTACATAATACTGCTCTAGCATGGTGACCAACTCATATATACAATAGTACATAGGAGTATATACATACATATGTATATATGTACATATGTACATACATTCATAGGTATAAACAATTTATTGGAAAAGTTTGGTCGTGTATGGATTGGCGCGCCAAATTTCGCAATTTTAATTTCCTCTTAAAGATACCACTATTTAAACATACATACATACATATGAATATACAAATGAGTGCTCGTACACAAGGGTAGTAGAGAAATACCTATGGTATAAGTGGTATCATGGAGCTTTAATCTTTTGTATCAGCGATAGAAAAAAATATAATATCATTTGGAGTTAGCAAAATCATTTAAAATTAAAATTTTTAAATATTAGCCGAAAACATAAATATGTACATATGTATTTCTCTCCGGAATTCTAATTTTATAATATCAAATTTTGGTTAAATAATTTCTTGATTAAATAAAATTTTCAGTATTTCCTAGTATTTTCATGAAACTTTTAAATTTGGTGGCTCTATTAAATATTAAACTATAACGGGCTGGTGATGCTCGAAATCCAATTTTGGTCCTCCCTATCGTTATTGTTACGTATACATGAAAGTAGGTATTCTATATAATTATATTCTTGAGAAATTATTACTATTATTTCAAAGCTCCTTTGCCTATAGATCTGCAAAATGAAAATTCTCATTTGGTTATACACTACCGGGAAAAGAGTATAATATTACTGATTACTCTTAAGCTCTACTCCTTAGAATTTATAGAGATTTTCTATGTAGTAACGTTAATATATGCAAATACATGCAAGCATAAATATGTATTGTATAAAAAAGAGTAGAGTAGAGTACATAATAACTTTTTCTGAAATTATTTAATCCATCTTAAATACTTATACGCTGATGCAGCATATTCAAACGTTTGAAATATACAAAAAATGCCATCACCTTCAATCCGAAACCTTGTATTTCCTACTGTGTTGTAAATTGTCTCAAGTTCTTTAATTGGATTGACCTTCCAGCTATTAATTTTGTCTTTAAAATTTCAGCTATGTTGCAGTTTTAGAGCCACTGGTTCGGCTGTTTTTGTTCGTACAGTACATAGTGTACATTTTCTTGCCTACTTATCGTGTATAGCTGTACACTTTATTTGTCCCTTTCAGTTTGACACCGTTTCTTTCACTCCCTTAACAAGTGTTTGCACAACTTCCAACCAATCAAAGCATGTCTTCACTTCACAAACACAAATAAAGAAAAAGATTATTTGCGCAATGAATTAGTCCTCGTTAAAACCAGCACCAGTGCCAACAACTAAAACTCATTTCAGAGCACTGAGTCATTGACGGCGGTGGCGCAATTCTTTTCCAAACGGAGTACAGATAATGCACGCAGGATATGAAAACTTAAATCCACCAAAGCAACAAAAACAATGGTGAAAAAGTTCAAATCAGACAAAAATGGTGCTGGTTTTGACCGTTCCAGTTGTTTGATAAATACATACATATCCTACACACATACATAAACATATAGAAATGTATGTACGCGCACGCTAGTATTTACACTCATATGATGACGTTAGTTTTTAATTTAGCACTTTTACTTAAAATGACTTTAAGTAAAAATAATGGTATAAAATTAATGTCCAACAAGATGCAACGAAAAGCCAATACATATAAGGAGTAAATTCGGGTATTGTGGTATAGGCGGGTAATGTGGCACTCCAGTTTTTCTCGGAAACTATAAATGTGAAAATAACAGGACCTTTCGAAATAACTCGATAGCGACTTTGTTTTTCTGCTCGGAAAAAACGATCTTTTTAAGAAAAATCTGGAACTGTGCACAATATTCAATAATTGAGAGGTAACAAGTAACTCTTATATTAGTGGCTAGTTAAAGTAATATTTTGTATATAATTTTGTGTAATTAATTATTTATAACAAATATGATAAAATTCTATGTCGGCTATTGTGGTATATGCAAAGGCCGGTAAAACGGTATATATATTTATATATATAGCCGAAAAAAAGATTACATACAAAAGGGAAAACAACAGTACAGTAGGAATGGAAGAAATGTGCATTCTTTTGGCTTCCAAGACCTTCATTGTTGCCAAACTAGGCCGAGCAATATTATCTGCAGCAATAGAGGTTATGAAATATTTGTTAGA